GATGCTGCCAATTGGTCCAGTGGTGAGAATCTTTGTCATCTTGACATTGAGCCTCAATGAGAAGTAGTGCTTTTTGAAGTTTAGTACGCAGACAGAAGTATTTTTTTAGTATATACAACTTTAAATTGCCTACTAAATGTAAGTATTCCACAAGAGAGAGAGAATGCCACACTAAGAAGACAAGACTTTTGCTATAAATGTTCTTCTGTTTCAGTAGAAGAAAGTAGGCACATGAACCACTGTTCCACAAGGTACCAAGTTAGAAGTACTATATGACGAACTGTAAGACTATTCCTGATTCAAAAGGTGTTTATTAGCTGCCAACTTAGTAGTGAACTGGACACTGATCCCTGCTGTCAAAGAGCTGAGAAACCATATTGCTTCTGCTTACACTAACACAAAGGGTGGGATATATTTTAATGTGGCTTTGAATGATGTTATGACTCTGGACACATGAAGGTCTGGAGTTAAGAGGGAATTATAAGTAAAAGTGAAGAAAAAAAAAGAAAAAAATACCAAGTAACAGAATACTTGGATACATATTTATTGACAAGATTTGATAAATTTTAAATTATGTTGATATTTATGTACCAAAGGGGAAAAATATTTACAATCTTACATTACAATATTACAGTATTCTCACATGGGGGCAATTTTGCACCTCCAAGGACGTGGCTAGGTTTGGAAACATTTTTGGTTGCTGTGTTATCACAACTGGAAGTTGTGGTGAGGCGAGTTCAATAATTAAGAGGCCAGGATGCTGCTAATCACCCTTTAATGCATTCCATTAGATTTCAGATTATTTCCCCTGAAACATCAGTCATTTTGTTCACTGTATCAACTGTACCAAGGTGGAGAATGCTACAACTAATGGTGTCATAAGTTAGCGACATATAAAGAATATTAAAAAAAATATTCTAAAATAAATGAAATCTAGCAGATGAATTCTGATTAATGCCCACAGGACTTATAAAGGGATACTGGGGGGTAATGCTCACCCTCTGCATCTCATATCTGTTCTCTCACTTTGAAAACTGTACAGTGGTAAAGACCATGGGCTGTTTTGAGAAAATAATTTACTGTATATTCTCCCTCTTGATTTTGAGAAATACTGCAGTCTACAAAGAATCTATTAAAAAAAATGATAAAACATTACTACAAGAAACAAAAAGAGACCTGAAGAAGTGGAAGAATATCCCTTGTTCATGGATAGGAAGACTCAATATTGTGAAAATGACAATCCTACCAAAGGCAATTTACACACTCAAGGCAATCCCAACACAAATACCAATTCCATTCTTCAACGAGATGGAAAAGGCAATCTGCAATTTCATTTGAAATGGAAAGAGGCCCCGAATAAGAAAAGCACTCCTTAAAAAGAGAAATAAGGTAGGAGGCATATCCCTCCCTGATTTCAAATCCTACTACACTGCCGTGGTGGTGAAGACAGTGTGGTTCTGGTATAATGACAGACACATAGATCAGTAGGATAGAATAGAAAATCCAGAAATCAGTCCATCTTACCTATGGTCCATTGATTTTTGACAAAGAGATGAAATTAGTTAAGTGGGGAAATGACAATCTTTTTACCAAATGGTGCTGGCAAAATTGGAAAACTACCTGTAGAAAACTCAAGCAAGATTCATACCTCACTCCATACACAAAAACCAACTCAAAATGGATCATGGACCTAAGACTAAAACCAAGGACTATACATTTTATTAAAGAAAAGCTTGGAAGAACTCTAGAAGTCCTAACCCACAACATAAACAGTCTTCCAAGCATCCTGAAAAATCTACAACCAGGAGAGGATAAAATAGATAAATGGGACCTCCTAAGAATCAAATCCTTATGCACATCTAAAAACTTCTCCAACAGAGTAAAAAGGGAAGGCACAGATTGGGAAAAAAATATTTGATAATGACATATCAGATAAGGGACTTATATCTAGAATTTATAAAATACTTGAGCACCACAACAAGATAAAGGTAAATAACCCAATTGAAAAATGGGCACAGGATATGGACAGACACTTCACCAAGGAAGACATTCAGATGGCCAGCCAACAAATACATGAAGAAAGTTCAAAATCCCTAGCCGTAAGAGAGATGCAAATCAAAACAACTACGAGATATCATCTCACCCCAGTAAGAATTGCAAAATTTAACAGAGCAGCAAACAACAAATGCTGGAAAGGTTGTGGAGAATTTGGAACCCTTACTCACTGTTGGTGGGAGTGTAAAATGGTGCAACTACTATGGAAGGTTGTATGGCGCTTTTTCAAAAAGTTGCAAATAGAAATATCATTTGACCCAGCAATTCCTCTAGTGGGAATATACCCTAAAGAAACCATAACTGCCACCCAGGCAGATATATGCAAACCCATGTTTATCATGGCTTTGTTCACAATAGCAAAGAGTTGGAAACAACCTAAGTGCCTATCAACAAATGAATGGATAGAGAAGCTCTGGTATAGTCACACAATGGAATACTATGCTGCATTGAAAAGCAAGGAACTCATGCAATAGTATTCAAAATGAGTGACCCTGGAGGACATTATGCTGAGAGAAATATCTCAATCACAAAAGGACAAATACTGCATAGTGCCACTGTTGTAAAATGGGACTGACATCAGGACTGGGGGGAGATTGAGAAAGGGATAAATTATGTATACTGCTTTGGAACAGATGAGGGAGAGAACAGTTTAAAAGAGGTATATGATTGGGTATTATGGTTATGACAAGAGTCCAGAATGAAGGTTGTATAGTGGAGTGTACTGGGGGGAGGAGGGAACTGTATACCAATGAAGGAATTTTTCTTTTATTTTTCAAAGAGTTGAGGGAACTGGGTGGGGGAGTGGGCAGGGATAAAAATGCAACAATGAATGAATAGAAATTAAAAATCTCTGTAAACGTTCATTAAAACTAATAAAATAAATTAAAAAAAATACTGCAGTCTATCACATTAGATACACCCATTTCTGCTACTTCTGGCCTCCGGAAACAATGCTGATCCACCAGTCAAATGGGAGGTCATATTAATTTTTTTCTTTAGGCTTGCTCTGTGCCATTTATTCCATGACAAATTCCCTCATGCATTAGACCAAATATTCTTTTCTTCTTTGTAACTTCTTTAGCATATCATCTGTAACTCTCTAATTGTAGCAATTATTTATTTATGTGCTTTATCTTTCCTCTAAAGTCCTAATTCATAATTATCATTCTCAGGGGTCCCAGTACAGTGCCTTATACATCATAGGTGCTCAATAAATATCTGTGGAATAATTGCATATAGAGCACTTGCAGATTATAATGAAACACATACCCTTCTGACTTCTCTCAACTCTTTGCTCGCTTTCCTCACAGGGCTCATTTTGTAAATCTTTAATCATTTCCGCAGTTCCTCATGTTCTTAGGCAACAGCTATATAGTCTCAGAGAGAACAGAGTTCTTTAACAAGTCCTACTGCAGCTTAACAAAACACTACTTAGTATCTTTCATTACGTTTCAGATTATTTCTCTGTAAGGTGGCAGCAAACATTTGGTCATAAATCATATAAAGATCCTTGGTATATACAGTATCCCAAATTCTTCGGAGGAAACAAGGGGCATAGATGACAGTACAAATAAAAGCAGGAAGACCGTGTCCAAATATTGCTCATGAAACCCAATACTTGTTTGTGCTCCTCTGTGTATGTTAAAGAGCTCTGGTGGCCAGCACATTAACAGTTGTATCACCAACTGAAAGGTCTGTGATTCAAATCCACTAGCTGCTCTGAGGGAGAATGTTGGGTAGTCTCCTCCAGTAAAGATTTACAGCTTTGGAAAGCTGATGGAGGGCTTGCTCCCTTGGTCCAGTAGCAGTGGGTTTAGGTTTTTGGTTTGGTTATGTATACTGGGAGGAAGTTCTGGGCTAACCTAATGAAAATCTTAAAATGTATAAATATAACTGGAGGAAGGAAAGAGGGGAAAAGATCACTTACAGAATTTTATGGGGCTTGGTTAAAAAGTAAAAAGAAAGCAAGATTAATGATATTTTATTGCACGACAGTTTAATAAAGGAAGAAATTATTGTGGTCCATGTAGAAAGTTGATGAAGATTTTGAAAAGTTCCTTTCCGAGTCTTTCTTCGCAGTAATACTTGAGCATCAGTTAGCGTTTAATGCTTGATTCCAGTAAGTCTTTAGCTTCATTTATTTTGGCTGCTAAATAAGGAGACCCACCTGAGAGAAAAAAGATAAATTATTGAAAAGATGTTTTCAGAATTGACAAATTTTAAAGTCCCAAATATAGAAAAAACACTCGACTATAATCTTTTCTCTTTCCCCAACCCATTTATCCTCTGACAAATTACTTTATAAACTGACTAGAAGTTAAACAGCATAAACTGAATGTGCTTAGTGAAGCACTACAGACATCCAATGATCACAGATAATTGAGAAAAATACAAAGAAAGCCATGATGAGGAATGATTCAAAAACATTCAAACATTTCATTGGACATACATTCATTCACCATTCAAAGATCTGACTAGAAAATTTCCTGCAATTAAGTGGATGGTTATAAAATGGTTTTTTTTTCTGAAGATTATGTTTTTTAAAGGGGGGTTTATTAACATCCTTTCATCTGTGGAGGAGGGTATCTTTGTGAGAAGGTCATCAACCAAGAATCTTTCCAAGTCTTATACAACTGAAGTGTGGATTTGGATAAAATACCTGTAAGGAAACGTAAATTATACTACATCCAGTTTCTATGTTACCATTACAGGTGAATGAATTAATAATTGGGTGATAATATAAATAACGTAAAGGAACTTTTTTCTGTTCGCTTAAATGACTCCATTAGAATACGGACAGAATGTAGCCTTGGATTCACAGTCCTGAAAGGAAGAAAGGTCAGATTGTTTAGTTCATTACAGTGAATTCTTTTTAATGCAAACAGCAAGATGAAAGTCAAGGTAAGTAGAGCCTATCTGACATTCAAAAACTCTAGCCCCAAACTATCACAGTAAAGCTACTCAAACATCATGCAACTTCCAAATTCTGGTCCTGAACACTGTCATCACTTAACGCTTGAGCTAACAATCACATTATAGTTCACCAGTCTTTTTGTGTTTGTTTTTACTTTCTTTGAACACAAACCATCTATAGCAGCAAAAAGATCACAAGGTCTCAGTAGCTTACAACACACCATAAGGCACCTAGATAGCAAAGGGTAAAATGCCCTGGTTTTACTGAAGTCTTACTGGTATACAACTTTGCAGGGAGAAAAAGCAGAACAGCAAAGCAGAAAAGGTGTTGTTGCAGAATGCTATATTTAGCTGTTTGCCCTTGAAGGTGACACTGATAATTTTGTATCAAGATCTGAATCACTAAACACTTATGGAATAAACCATAGAGTATCCTTGTGTATATGATAAAATTACAAATAAAGGTGATAAAAGCCTTACATATGCACTTGGTTGTGAAATATGCAGATTTTTTATCTCTAAAACTGATCTTATAATCAGGTAATAGGAAACTTGGTAAGAGACTTTTTAAACTTTTAGTTACTAAAGCAATATCAGATATTCTGTACATGCTCAACAAATAGTAAGATATTAATTAAACATAACCATTTCTGATATTTAAATCACAGGTCATTAATATGTTCATTTGGCAAATGGGGGGGGAAACCACAGACACAGAAGACAGAAAATCTTATGAAACATTCCATTTCTTAGTGGAAATGTTAGAGGAAAGTTTTATAGTTTAGTCAGAATAATGTTGAGTTCTCTACCATCCACATGCTGATCTTCAATTTCTTCATATGACAAAAACGAAAAAAAAAATTCCACTGCCAGAGAATTGTTTCCACCCAGAGCAACCTACAGGATGAGGCTGAAAAAGGCTGTAATCTTCAGGAAAGCAGATTTCCACACCTCTCTCCTGTGGAATGGCTGGTGGGTTTGAACCACTGTCTTTTCTGCTAACAGCTGAGTATTTATCTGATCTTTTATCAACCAATAGTTCTCTGTGGGAGAAAGGTGAACCATCTCACCCAGGAAAGATTTATAGTCTATGAAATCCAATGAAGGGTCATTATGAGTTAGTTGGAAGAATTCAGTAGCAGTGGGGTTTGCTGTGGAATAATTATAATAGGTATCTCTCTCACACACACACACACAATATGAAAATATCAGAAAAAAAAGGAAAAGAACAAATGTTTGAAGTAATAATGATTTTTAAATACTCAAAATTTATAGTAGACATCAATCCACAGACCCAGGAGCAGCAAGTAGGGTAAATACCTCCAAGTCTACACCTAGGCATTAATAGATTCAACTTACAAAAATCAAAGACAAAAATCTTAAAAGAAGCTAGAAGGAAAACACCTTATCTACAAGGGAACAAGGATAAGAATTACATTTCTCTTTAGAAAACATGAAAGCAAGAAGAGCATGGAAAAAAAAAGAAGAGCATGGAGCAAAATATTTAGCATGCTGGAAGGAAGAAAAAACCAAAACCCACTTGCTAGACTAGAACTCTGTCTGTATTCAGTGAAATGATTCTCAAAAGGAAGGAGAAAGAAAGCTGTTCTCAGACAAACAAAAATTGAGGCAATTTGTTGCCTGTTGACCTGAATTCAAGCAATATTAAGCAACATTCTTTAGAGAGAAAGAAAATGATATAAGTTAGAAAGTGAATCTACAGGAAGAAAGAGAGCGCCAGAGAAAGAATATATGCAATGCAATAAAATATTCTCATCATTACTCTTAGTGGATGTAATCGATAATCGTTTGCTCAAAATAATAACAGTAACAAGTGATAGTACACAGAAAACTGGCATGAATGCCAGAGATGTTCTGAGGGACAAGAGAGAAGAATTGGGAATATGTACTATACTAAGCCACTTAAACAGTGGTACAGTTATTTGGAAGTGGGTTAAAAAAAGTGGGTTCAACTAGTGGAAAATGTTTTTTGCAAACTCTGCAGCAGTAAATACAACTTTTTAAAGAAGCACATGTTACGTGCTAATAATGAATATGAAAATGAAATGATATAAAATTATCAACTGAAACTAGAAGCAGAAAAAAAGAGCATGAAAGAGGAAAAAAGTAACAAAGGACAAAAGTAGTGACTAGAAGGTATTGTGGATGTGGCAGTGACTAATCCAACTATCCTAATAGTCACTTAAATGTGAATAGTCTATAAATATGGTGATAAAAATATCAGACTGGATTTCAAAAATCAGAACCAACTTAACATTATCTATAAAGAGCTCACTATAACTATAGATACATACTGATTAAAAGAAAAGGAATGGAGAGGGTTAAATCATGCTAATTCTAACAAAAATGGAGTAAAAAGGTCTCAGACAAAGCTGATATTAGAGCACAAAGCATCATATAAATACTAACTGTATAAGGTTAAACTCATCAATTTGATAGATGAAATGGGTTTGATTTTTAAAAGACACAATCTACCATCTCTGAAAAACATATCTACTAAAAAACAGAAAACCTGAACAGACCTATAAGTATTTAAGAAATTTAATCATAAATAAAATCCCATAATGGAAATACCAAGTCCAGATTACTTCACAGGTATATTCTAAGTTTTTGGAAGAAATGGTGCCTATCTCTTACAAACTCTCCCAGAAAATCAGAACCAGAGCGGGAAGTTCCTAATTCATTCTAGGGCAGTGCTACCATCATAATAAAAACCAAGTTAAAAATATTATAATACGGCAGACCAGTATTTATCATGAACCAACTCATAACTGATGCTCCATGGGGTTTCCCAGGTCATAAATCACACAGGAGACTGTCTGTCCTTCTCCCTCAGACTGGCTCGTGGGTTCAAACTACCAACGAGCCACCTCCTTTGGGTCAGCAGTACAACTCCCTAGGGACTACGCTATCAGAGCTCCCTATTAATACGGATGCAAAAATTCTCAATAAAATTTAGGTAAACTAAAGTCAACAATGTGTAAACACAGTTATACATCAAGATCAAGTGAGATTTATTCCAGGTTTGGAGAGTTAGTTGTTGGTTGGCGGTTAGTTGCCAAGGAGTCAAAGGCAACTTAGAGTGACCCGATGAACAACAGACCTGAACTCTGTCCTATCCTGTGCAGGACTGGTTAAATATTAAAAAACCAATTAACTCATTAACATCAACAGGCTAAAAAAGAAAAAAAAAAACAAACCCAGTAACATCATACAAAAATAAATAAGAAAATAATTTGAAAAAAAACCAACTCATTCATGACACAAATGTGTAGAAATTACTTGTTATGCATTTGAGAGCTGGACAATGAATAAGGATGACAGAAGAAGGACTGATACCTTTGAGCTGTGGTGTTGGAGAGGAGCACTGAACATCCCATTATGGCCAAGAGAACAAACAGATATGTCTTGGAGAAAGTACAGCCAGAATGTTCTTTGGAGACACAAATGATGAGGCTTTGTCTCACATAATTTGGTCAAGTTGCTAGGAGGGACTATTCCTTGGAGAGGGTCATCATGCTGGGAAGGGTGGAGGGGCAGCAAAGGAGAGGAAGCCTCAACCAGGTGGATTGGTGGGGTAACTACCGCACTGAGCTGCAGTGTATCAGGAAGTGTGGGGACGGCACAGGATAGGACAGGGTTCAGGTCTTTTGTTCATAGGGTTGCTATGACTTCATGCTCAACTTGACGGCACCTAACAACAACAACAGGAACAACAGACAAGACTAATCTTTGGTGATCAATATTAGGATGGTTTTAACCTTTGGGTCAGCAGTGACTATAAAGGTACACTTGGGGTGGTATAATCCCAGTCATAATTTGTGTATTTTTATGAGTGTATATAGTCAATTTTTAAAAGTTTACTGATAAACTAATACTGAAGATATATCATGGTGACCTCCACACAGTCTAATAACAAAATAAATTTATACTGTCCAAAAATCACTGAGGCTAAGCAAACCTGTGAGTAAAATCATAATGATGAAGGTGGTTACTGAGCCCTGTTCTTTTACCTCCTATAAATAAATGTACACTTCCTCTGACATCCTTGCCAGCTTCTCTTTCAGCAATTTTTAGCCTCAAATCACCCTGACTGCCTCTGTCTGAACACTTTCTCTACTGTTATCGCCTCAGCTCTTTGAACAGCGCTTGTCCCTCAGGCTAAAACACAGACTTCTTGCTGCCGAGTCTATTCTGATTCACAGAAGAGGTTGAGGACAGGCTAGAGCTGTC